TCAGCTAAGGCTTCTTCCTAAAAGTGAAAATTCTAAGAAAAAAAAAACAACAAATTCAATAACAACAGAAGGAAGTTGTGGGAAAGCAGAGCGATGCATAGATTAAAAAGGAACAGCAATCATCCCCATTATCTGGGTCATCAAACTCATCAACGTGTGGCCAACTGCAGATTTGTGATCGTGACCTAGCATGAAAACAATGACCTCACCGCAGTGACTTCATCTGCTAGAGCAAGAAAAAAAATCATCCCTTTCTTGTTTATCCAATCTTAGAAAGAATAATCTGGATTATTTTGCTTGTCAATTGATACACTTTGTAAATTAATGTTGACCAAAGATTTCCGTACCAGAATATATTTAAAAATGCAAAACATCTGCTCCCAGAAGAGTTCCAGACATGAAAGGCATGTGCATTCTTCAGAAAGGCAGGTAACAGCAAGGCTCAATTTATTGTGGAAGTGCTCTGACAATGAGGCAGGCAATTTCTGCCTTTGTTGGGACAACAGCTGTGAGGCACAATAGAGGAAGTGGGTTCAGTTCATTAAAGACCCAGTAGGGTGGTGAGGAGAACCCCCCCCCCCCCCCCCCCCNTTCTTCTGTTTCATCTTTTCATCTCAGCCCTTCATTAGACCTGCTCGAGTATTCAAACCCCCAGCTACTGGGGTCTGGGAGATACCAAGAGTCAACCGTGTAGACTATTTTAGGATGCTTTCAACTTGACAAGTAATTCTTGACACAAAAATACATGAAATGATTGATGAAATGATTGATAAACCTTCAATTAATGTTAAACTTGACGATAAATATATGGTTTAATGGATCCCCTGCATAGTCATCATTAAATTCTAAACATGCAACACTGTGTGTCAAAACTGTGTTTGTGAGTCGGGCCAGCGTCTGTTTAGACAATCACCGGCCAATCAGAAAATGAGAGCGCTTTCATACTTAAAAGCTGCTTGGAAGTGCCTGACGGCGGTGATCGTGAAATAGAAGTCATTATCAGGGATGTGTTTCCCAAAAGCTCTCGTTAGCAACTTACATAGTCAGATGGGGGGGGGGGTGCTTTACAGGGAGTCAGGTTCAGGTGTCGCTTAACTGAAGGGCCACAAAAAAGCTGTCACTGGGGGGAGTCGCTTCCTGTGAGAAGCAACATATCCAGAGGGTCATGTAGCCACTGCCGTCCTGATATCAGGCTGTGTGTAGCAGGGATGGCGAGGCTCACATCTGTGCACCAGCGTAAAGGTTCATTAAAAATGTGTGCAGCGGATACAATTTGGGATGAACTCAGGATGCATCACTTCTAACATCTCTCCATCTGTAAAATCTGATTTATTAATATATAATACTCAGTGAGCTGCAGTGTTAGAGACGTGGAAATATGTGGAGTAAAAATGGCACTTTTTTAGTTAATCTATGATTTGCTGCCTGCTTATGAACAGAACAAAATGCTGACGATACAGGTGTAGGAAACAGACCTTCATACTCCCAGTGCCAAGAAGGGCAAACAAAAAATATTAATCTGTAAAGAGATGTTCTCCCAGTGTCATTCGGGTTTTCCTCTTACACCCCATAGGTCCAGGTTTGGGTGCTACTGAATCCCATAGAAGCTCCAAGACCCTCAAAATGCTGCACAGTTGGAAAACAGATGGATGGATGGATAGATGAATGGATGGATGAATGGATGGATGGGTGAATGGATGGATGGATGAAATAAACACAGCAAAATTTTAGCAATTTTAAAAACAATTTGGTTTCAGTAAAGTGTTACATTTTATGTGGAATATATAATTACTAAATATAACAATAGACTAACTGATATCATTATGCATCTCATTACCATGTGCTTTCATCTAAATATCTCGCAATCAATCCAAGAAGCAATCCAGCAGGATGCACGTTTGTTTTTCTGATTAAACCCTAACATCTGTGACAGTGACCCAGGTGCTGGAGATATTCTGCGAAAGCTGCTCTCTCGCTTCCTTTCTTTCTCCATCCCTCTCTCTCTCCACATACAAAAATAAATCTGGTTTTAGGGCCTGATCTGGACTTGCTCCAGTCCCTCTGCACGCATACAAAGGCTGGGAAGGAGAGAGGTGAATGCTCTCCCCTGGGGGGGGGGGGCTAACAATACCTCTGAGACTCCCTACATCAACCCACGGCCCCCACATCACAACAGAGACTACATGACTTTGGTGTTTGATACTTAACAGAGGGGTCAACTTCACTGCACAAAGGAGGGACACCTGTTGTGGGAAGGGCTCGCGTCCCACATCCCCCCCCGCCACCCTCGGTCCCCCAGAGCTAATACCCACTGAGCCCCCTGGCAGCCGGGCGCTGTCTGGCAGATTAACTTGTGATTCGCTGCGTCCCCTAACGATGCCCTAATCCCATCATTTCCCTGGCCACGGTACACCCCTGACCCCGCCAGTGTTCTGGGGGGGCCGCCACACTCCAATCCTACTTTAGTCCTTGCTTTGTCTGCCCCTAATCTCCCTCTCTCACTAGCTTTTCCCTTTCCTGCTGGCTAAAGTCTATTGATTCCCTGATTTCTCTCTTTTGTCTCTGCCTTACCGGGTGAAAAAAGGCAGATTCCGCGTACAACCGTTACAAAATATCGACGTCCGCTCATCCGAGCACCCAGTGCTAATCCAGCCTCACAGATACGCATTTATACAGCAGAGCAGAACTCACACAGAGGACTGTCTTATGGATGGTTATTAACCAGCACTGGCATCCTGCACTAATTACAAGGCAGGCAAAGGCTTTCATCTCCATGATACCTTTTTCACTGGTAGTCTGAGCAACACAGCAGTCAGTCACACTGATGGCTACAGTTCACAACACTGTAAATTAAGTGGTTAATTTAACACTACAGGTCTGAGTGTCTGAGTACAACATTAAAAAAAAATCTTTAAAAATTGTTCATATTTCACAGTCATGCTGTTCTCATTACAGCTTTGCCTGAAGCAGATTAGCAGGTCATTTATCTGTACCAGGAACATGTATTAAAACGCCTCTCATGTTTTAGAAGTTTTCATTAGTGTACGACTTCTATCTATACATGCAAAGTGACTTGTTGTTTAATAGATAATTTGAAAGCTGATGTTAAGCAAGAAGCAGCATAATCTGTACTTTCTGATGATTGGGGTGCACAGCCTTTGTGGGGATGGATAAAAGGTCACTGACTCTGTATCGGATAAGCAGTAATGAAAGATGGATAGATGGATGGATGGATGCGTAGAATGTCACAGGCTGTTGTCGCCCTCTGCTGTTCCAAAGTAATACTACACAAATTTTAAGACGGCATAATGGAAACAACACATGAGGAGTTTAACTTGGAAGTAAATTTAAAATTACAAATATAACCATATGAAGTGTCTGCTTAATGGGTTATATGTCATTTCTTTCCACCTCCATGTACTTGTAAAACATGAAAGAAAAGAAACAGTGGGTAGGACCCTTGTGTCAAGCTGGGGATTCAGGGTCTACCAACAAATACACACACATACACACACATAGAAAGACACGCACACACTTTGTGGGGACTCTCCATTCATTTCTATGGGAAAACGCTAATCCCAACATGACAACCTTAACCCCAACCTAACCTTAACCCCTAACCTTAGCCATAAGTAACCAAACAAAACACAAGACTTTGGGCATTTTTACTTTTATGACTGCATTCAGAGATCTTTGTGGGGACCTGAAAAATCATCCCCACATCATCAAAATAACAGGTTTTTCCTACATCGTAGGGCACATTTGGTCCGCACAATAGAATATAAACATAATCCACACACACACACACACGCACACACTACCCAGAGAAATTGCGTGTTTACATATATATTTGCTCAGAAAAAAAATATACTACTTAACATTAGAACGTTTGCAAAGTATGAGTAACACGATAAACAACTAAAAGTTTAATCTGTTCTTCAGAAAGTTACTGACATCTTGATGGATGGCTAGATGAACACCACTCCAGCTCCCAAATCTCTCCTCAGGGGCACCCAAGCCATTCCATATATTTGTTACATTTCACTACCAGCTCAGTTAATTAATTAGTTTAATAGCTCAATGTATTTATTCCCCAAGCATGGTGCACCAGTCAAAAAATACATGGGTATATTGGATGGATGCTGCATATACTGGGGGGATTTTAAGAGAGCTTTGGAAATGGCTAAGCTGACCTAATATCAAGTCATCACACCAACATGAAGATCATTTAAACATTTCCTTTGATTGTCTAAGATTTATATATCACTTTATTGTCTTTATTTAGTTCCAGGTAGGACTTCCCTTTGGTCTCCAGAACCATTTAAAGGTTGACGTGTTCTGGTACCAACATTTAAAATTCACACACCATAGCCATTCGATTGTTACAGAAGGGCATGGTGACGGACGGACGGTGCACATTGTGGCACACAAAACAGGACTTTTTTAAAACTCAAAAAGAACACAAGAAACAAACAGACCATGACTTGTCAACAATAAAGTCGGTAAATGACAAAAACAAAGGCAGGGGGGTAGGAGCAACAGCAGCTAAAGACACACAACGATGTATACAGGCACATATGTACACAGATAATGAAAGAAGATGAGGGACAGGTGTGGGACAATTACTGTACAAGCAACCAAACTCTATGGCTATGAACAACAAGACACAGGTGAGGGTCATAATCACGAAGCACTCAAACACTAGGAAAGGGGTGACAGCGACACCTGCTGGCCAGGCAGGGACTGATTCTGACATCTAATGCTTGAGCACACAGTGAGTGAACCTCCTGACCAGGTCTGCATGCAGTATACATTCAGGTGCAGTCACATGATTCTCTGTTCGGAGGAGCAGGCTGTTTGTGTTAACAAGCTTTTGTTATTAACACATTTTACAGTGATACAGGCAAAACCAGCTTCCTTCACTACTTACTAATTCTAGTTGTGGTGCAAACAAATTATTAAAGCCCAAAATAAATATCTGAAGCCATCTGAAGACTTACCACCCAGAAGAGGACGCTGTGGGCCAGGGGCTGATACTGATCAATTGTTGACATAACACTGAAGATCAGACAGGCAAGGACGATGAGAAACCTTAAGGAGGGAGAGAACATTTTTATGACCTTCAGTTATGTGCCGTACACTCCTATAATCTGTATTCAAAGTCATTCCACATCATGTAATTTCAGAAACTTTAGTTAAGCTTTTTTTTACTGTTTAATACATGGAATGGGGGTGGCATGGTGGTGCAGTGGTTAGCACTGTTGCCTCACACCACTGGGACCTGGGTTCAAGTCTCCACCTACATGTGTGTGGAGTTCGCATGTTCTCCCTGTGTCATCATGGGGTTTCCTCTGGGCACTCTGGTTTCCCCCCACAATCCCAAGACATGCTGAGGCTAATTGGAGTTACTCAATTGCCCATAGGCGTGCTTGTGTGAGTGAATGGTGTGTGAGTGTGCCCTGCAATGGGCTGGCCCCCTGTCCAGGGTTGTTCCCTGCCTCATGCCCATTGCTTCCAGGATAGGCACCAGACCTCCCACAACCCAATAGAATAAGCAGGATGGAAAATGGATGGATGGAATACATGGAATGTGGCTCAGGCTACAGGACAAAGCCTCTTGGTTTTGAGGTTTATCAGCAATAATCACCTTGATAATAAAACACGAATGAGACACAGCATTCTGACTCTCACAGCCGCCCCCATGCTAAAGGCAGCTGTGGCAGGCGTTTTATTTGGTGTGCTTAATAATACAGCCCGCCATCTGTAACCCTGGGAAGTGACCCAAATGCAAACTTTGTCCTGCCCAAAAGGAGATTCCAGCTCCTATAGAGACTAACCCAACACACGTCAGCTGGTCTGCTCTTCCACAAGGTCACTCGCGCTTTTCAGACTAAATCAACAGAAGGCTGCGTTGGACCCTCAAACACACTAAGATAAAGTTGTTTTCTCTCTGGCAGGAGGCCCCTCAAGTTCAAATCCTCCTACCCCATCCACACTCACTCATACTGAGGAAGGACAGCTGATGCCTGAGCCGATGTTATTCCCCAGTGAGATGTGCTGCATAAATCCAGGATGTAAACGCAGCACAATATTTTAGATTCTGCTAAATGGTCACCAAACCTCAGCTGCTGGTTGAATACCCAGCAGTAGTATTACTATATTATGAGTAATAATTATATATTAAATGGCCATGCACAGCTACTTCAGAAAATTCGGTCAAGATGACAACAGCTAGAATGTAACCAAAACAACCTGAAGAAACTCACTGGACACAATGTACTCTGGAGGGCTAAACAAGTCAGTACTTGTAGCTCAGCAAAACAGATAACGATAAATCAAGTAACGAATCAATATAAAGCAACATAAAAAGGTGAGCATTTTTCAGAAATGACCATTCAGTCATTTTAATCGTGTCCATACAAAACAGTTGAACTGCCCATGATGGTGGGACAACTATCGGTCGTGACGACTGCCTTGTCTAACCCTTCATTAAGTTACACAAACTCATTTTCCTACTATCATTTTCTAATATATATGTGATTGTGTGTGTGTATATATTACATTTTTCTCTTTTTTTGTGCTGTATTCCACTGCAAGCATATTTAAAGATATATGATGAATTCAAGTTGGGTACAGGTAGAAATTGGAATATAGAAAGTAGAAATTGCACTACATATTTGACGGGTCATTATTATTATATTAGCATTTTTATTATATTATTTTGAAAATGCTGTATTGAAAATCTGAATGGTTATTTGTAGTAATATCATCGAGAATAAATATTCTGAGCAAGATTGGAAAAAAAAATTGTATTACTCCACGTTTGTATTTGTATGTGTGTATGTTTGTGTGAGCATATATGTGTTTGTATGTGTGAGTATGTTTCTGTGAGTGTGTATGTGTTTGTCTATGAGTATGTGTCTATGAGTGTATATGTGTTTGTGTGAGTGTTTGTGTGAGTGTGTGAGCGTATATGTGTTTCTGTGTGTGTGTATGTGTCTGTGAACGTATATGTGCTTGTGTGCGAGTATGTGTCTGTGAACGTATATGTGTTTGTGTATGAGTATGTGTCTGTGAACGTATATGTGTTTGTGTATGAGTATGTGTCTGAGCATATGTGTGTGTGTGNGTGTGTGTGAATGTTTGTGTGAGCGTATATGTGTTTCTGTGTGTGTGTATGTGTCTGTGAACGTATATGTGCTTGTGTGCGAGTATGTGTCTGTGAACGTATATGTGTTTGTGTATGAGTATGTGTCTGTGAACGTATATGTGTTTGTGTATGAGTATGTGTCTGAGCATATGTGTGTGTGTGTATGTCTGTGAGTGTATATGTGTTTGTGTGTATGTTTCTGTGAGTGTAAATGTGTCGTGTTTGTATGTATGTCAGTATGTGTCTGTGAGTGTATATGTGTTTGTGTGTGTCAGGAATCTGAAGGTCTTTGATAAGGTGAGTGTCCTGCAGCCCTGTGACGTCGGCATTATCGCTTTGCCTAATCTGAAAACAAGCTCTCACTGGGTGGCCTACAATGGAATTACAGCAACGTTTAATCACTTATCAAAAGTGTAAGATGAAACAAACCCACCAACAACAAGGGGAACATAAAGGTGCAATGAAAAGGGTAAGTGTTTGACCTTGCTATTAGCTTATACAACACTGCATATGGAGTGAGTGTGACCCCCCCCTGCCAAAAAAAATACTTGCAGATTAAAAAATAATAATCATCAGCTGGACACAGCCTGCTGCAGACTGACCAGCTGGATAAATTACTGCTGTTTCCCATCATACCACTGGAGACATGTTGTCTGGTGTGTATTCAATTTAACAGATGAATTCCAGTAATTTAACAAGTTTTTTTAGTAAAATTATTCATAAAAGCAATATGAGTGAAGTATGGTTTCTTGTGAAAAAATGTGATGAATAAAGCATTTAATTAGTACATCTCAGAACCCTAAATTATGGGTTCCCCACCCCTGGCCCACGGCCCGGTACTGGTCAGTAGCAAGTAATTCCACCGCGAAACACTGAGGGGTTTACGGAGGGGTTGGTCATTTTCCAAAAATACACTGCATACAGACGCTCCCTGGGTCGCAATGGCCCCTGTCACGATATTTCGAATTTACGATGGCTAAAGGTTTTTCACTTTCAGCACATTATTCAATAAATTACACGAGACATTCAAGACTTTATTATAAAATGATTTTGCCCAACTGCAGGCCAATGTAAGCGTTCTACGCGTGTCTAAGGTAGGCTTGGCTAGGTTGTTAGATTAGGTGTACTGTATTAAAACTCATGTTCGCATTACAAAATTTTCGCCTTACGACAGGTTTACCGGAATGTCACCCCATCATAACCTGCGGGTATTTTCAATTTTTAACGATCCCTCATGTTTGCGTATTTGCATCCGTAAAAATTAAGCAGTTAAACTTATTAAAATGCCAAAGTCATATTTATAAGCACAGCACACACACTGGTCCTGCAGGAAGGTGCTGGCAAATGATGGATTAGTGCATCAAACTCCTTTAGTTCATTGTAGAATAGCCTCTCTACCCGTTTTTACTCTAACCCCCACATTGTTAGTTTGGAATAACAGATCCTTCCATCCTTCCGTCTTTTGTCTGCTTATGCGGGCAGGGCTCTGGTTGCCCGAGAGCTTATGCCACAGAGCACATGGTGGGCAACACCATGAGCAGGATGCCAGTACATGGCAAAGTAACCCCCCCGTGTTCAGTCTCCTGGTATAATTGGGTAAACTAAGGCACAAAAGCAGTGAGATTACCTCTGTTTGTTCAGTGGAGGTCAAACTCACTTTAATGATACTTTATTTGCTATTTGCAGAAGTATATAGAAATTCTTTAGATTTTACTCTCCTCTGAAACATAAAAACACATCCAGGTGAGAGCAGGGGTCAAACTGCGGGGTCACCCAGGGCATCGCTATGGATGTTTTAGGGGGGCTTAATCTCCCTAAAATGTTCTTTAGCCCTTCAATTAAATGCACACTTATTATTTTAAGAAGTGCATCCTTATTCATTTTAATCAAACCCCCCAGTAAAGACTTCCCCTTTTCATAAATCCCCATGCAGTGAAGCTCCTGAGGTCAGCCATTTTCCTGTTCTTCTGGACCAGTGTTTGGGGTTAAGGACCCAACACTGATAAAATTAGCCTGCCAGCCAAGGGATTTGAACCATCAACCTTCTGGTCGCGGGTACAGGCTCCTGACACAAGGAGCCACACACCACTCCTTAACTTGTGTTCCTAATTTATCCTCCTCTGTAAACACCGGTAAGGAAGTACGTAAGGAAGCAGAAATCAGCATGGATCCGTCCAGCACGGTACGCAGCATTTCCCCGTTTGTCACCTTTTGTCTGTTTTTGATGCCAGAAGCTGGAGATCAAGACATTACAACGGCATCCTGTACATGTGGGAAACACATTTCAGAATCCTGTTTTTCATCGTATGTGAGAACCTTTGTTTGAGATTAAAATCAGAAATTCAGCGGCAAAACAGTCTGTTGGCTTAGGTGTGGAACAGTTACTGGGAAAGCTGCACGGTTCTGGCCCCCAGTTTTCATTCCTCACTCCAAAAAATAAAAATACCATGCTCAAGGACAGCAAGATTTAGTAGCAAATTTCAAAGTAAATGGCTTTTGAAATGATCTCTTTGAATGTTACATTGCTTTAGCAAAAAAATCATTCTGAACTGGAAGAACATCAGTGTACATCGCAGTTACACCTGCTGCTTATATGTTATCAAGACTCGCAATAACAAAGCCAGGAATGAAAAGAAATATCTCACTGATCCCAAGTGACCAACAGCCAATGCCTCAAGGTGAGGCAGGTATTAGGAACATTGAAATCCTTTGATTAACACCACAAACCACGGCGATTAACACCATAAACCCTGCTGATCACCCATGGCTACTGAATCAGAAGGTGCAGAAATGAACACACAGTAAACTGGGAATCAAAGGTGCTGTCTGATCTGGTACACCATGAATATTTAGTCGTAGGACAGCAGTGCTCTGGGTCAGACCGGACAGACGTGCTGCTGAACACTGGAAAGCAGGAGGGAGGGAGCTGTGTTCTTCTGGAGCAGAACATCAGGGGTTGCACAGACAGCTCACAGTCAGGTCGCCAACTTCGATGTCCAGATCTGCGTATCTCCTCATTGTCTCAGCCAGTGGTGGTTGGAGTCAAATAGAACAGAAGGTCTTAAATACTACCAGTCTCCAAAGTCCCTTAATATGGTCTTTCTGTTGCTCTTTACCCTTGATCCTTTCAAGACTACCCTTTCCATGTCAGCCCTGAGGAGGACATTTCTGCTAAAACCCTGTTCTGTAGGCTGTTGCCTGCAGTACCATATATCCCCATGACCAGAAATCCAGAATCCCATCTCTACATACCTTCTGCGAATCTCATTATACTGCTGCTGTTAATTTTATGCTTACCTTAGTTGTCATGATCACAAGGAAAATGTTCTTGACATTCATATTGCATGAAATTTGTTTATTTCATCTTAATAACATTTAAATTATTTTAGTGTACCTGTAGGGAGTTTAGAGTCTCAGAATTCAGTTCTTGTGAAATAGGCTACTGGCTTACTTTTCCCACTATATACAAAATGTATTGGTAGATAATTACAAGTTCTAATTGGCTAGTTTATTGTGGTGGGGGCAGGCTTAATGGAATATCATTATGTGATTAATTAATATATCACGTGCCAACGTGTTATTCACTTTTACCTGCAAAATTACACTAAATATTTAAGTGTATTATGTAGGTGCGTTAGGTCTGTAACAAAACCAGTGTATACATGGACCTTTTTGGTTAATCATTGCTGTAAGCCTACTTTTTAAAAAAAAGTCAAGGTCTTAGCTGTATCAATTGACCCCTTGGGAATCGAAAACTTCAGAAGACTCACACGGTGAAGTGATAGACGAAGCATCTCCAGCCGCTTGGTCTTTCCAGAAAGTTGTAGACTCGTCCTTGGATGTGGCCGCGGGTTAATAAGGGGCGGGTGGTGCTATACACTGACATGCGAGGGTGGAAGCGCACGCCCGGCATGCGGGACATCGGCTCGCTAACGGAGGCGTCCAGGGCGATCTCCTCCCAGCGGCTGCCGCTGTTGGCCGCGGTCCCTCCTGCGCTCGGCCATTCGCTCTTCCTTTCATCCGCGGCTGCCTCTGAAGCGTCGGGCTGCTTTGCCGAAGCTGACGCAGTCTCGGACATTTCTAACTCCATATGCGTCTCCGCATGTCCTGCGGCAGTTGAAGACCGACCGGTGTGCCATATGTCAGCTTCGATCGGAGTGGACATTCTTTAAAAAGCTGCTTTGAAACCGGATTAGATGCGGTTCATTACCAGATATACTTCATGTAATATACGACGCAGGCGATACTAGAAAAGGAGGAATGTCCTTTTGTGCAAAAAAAAAAAAATTACGCGGAAAACCTGAGCAGGAGTAATTAAACTATGTTTTCCAAAGCAGGTTTTCTTCTCATGCAGTTAATATCGTCCTTAAGTACAGTTATTGCATGGCATTAGCTGCTGCTTCACCTGCTACCCCCGCGCGTGTGTGCATATTGCGCGGATGATGGCAGTAAAACTGCGCGCCTGTTTCGGAAATTAAGTTTGTTGAGTGACGTTTTATTAGTGTGCGAGGGCGGCCCGACGTCAACTTCGAGGGGGATTTCAGCAGAATAAGTGCCTTTCTTTTTAGCCATTTAAGCCAGTTAGAATAAAGATGAAATAACAAATTTTAAAGAGTTCAAAAGTTCGCTACATCTGTAAGTAGTCTTTAAGATATGTAGAATCATATTTTATTTTATAAAAATTATGAGTTTTGAAAATAAAACATAGAACAAAACCTTCTTATTTAGATCAGCTGATGAAGATCAGCAGGACTGACAAGTCTGCATGATTTATGTGATTGACTTATAATAAAAATACCTAATAGCACTTTTTTTTGGTGTGTCCCTGTCTTTTGAACTGCTCGCTTTCTTACTTCCCCTGAAAATTAGGCAGCTTTTTGTGAGCAGATTACCTTTCTTACAGAAACATTGGTGTATTGTGAAGCCATGACCTTGAGCAGCCATCCATCACAGAGCAGGAGCCCCTTCGTGATAGAGAACCCAGTTTTAATCGCAGTCATGCGCTGTTGGACGGGGGCGGTGTGGTGACAGGTACTCTTAGCAGCTTGATACTGAACCACTGCCTGAAGTGGCTGTGGAGGTCACCTTACCTACACCTGTACCAAGAATATGGATTCCCTTAAGAATTCATTGTTTTTTATTAGGTTTTCTGGAAGGCTCGTTATAACTGCTTTGATATCTATCACCTTAGGCATATCCTAAGAACAGATTTTAAAAAATTATAATTTTTTAGCAAAAAAAAAAAAGGAAATAATTAAACTCTTCCTCTGGCCTCCGATGGATTGTCATTCTGCAATGGGGTCTGCTCTGGCATCTGCCCTGGCATCTGCTTTGGCATCTGCTCTGGCATCTGCTTTGGCATCTGCCCTGGCATCTGCTTTGGCATCTGCTCTGGCACCGGCCTATTGACTGGCAACAGGGGCTCGATGCCAAAGTTCTTGGCAAAATTGTTCTGAAAAAGAAAACAGGATGTGTGACTGTGGTGCATTCTGGGAAACAGCTGTGGTGACATGCAAACAGCAGAACAAGAGTCAGGGGCTGCCAGCGCTAATATGGTGTCCTACCATATGATTGACTACTTCTATGTCATAAGGGATTCCGCCGAGGGTCCTGCAGTTCTGGATGTTGGACCTTTCTGGGTCTCCCGGGATAAGTACTGGAGCGCCTGGTTCAGACTAATACAACATTGATATGCGGTCAAAAGTCACAGGACACAGCAATTTGCTGCCGGACATGTAGACGATTATTGAATATTGGTTATTCATTTCAAGCTTGCATGCTGGAAATGTATAATTGGGCAACGGTCCAGCCACAGGCTCAGTTCCCATGGCAGGTTAGGATTTAACGTGCGACACTCACCGGCTCCAGATTCCTGTGTAGAGAGAGCAGGTCAGACATTCTGTCTTTAAATCCTGGTGCAAAGCAAGCCGGGTTAATAGCTACAAAACACTGGCCCTGCAATCAAAAGGACAGTTTGTTAATTGAGGGTAACGGTTAAAAATAATTGTGCAAGCAATGAATTACACAGTTGAACAAAAAGATACATAAGCAACATAATAATGCGCTGTTTGACCGCTCCTTACAAACCCCATTTGTCTGTTCGTAGAGGAACGGCAGTATTTATTATGGCCACTAGAGGGCCTCAGCAATATGCTACCTGAATATTAGGACCTCTTTATACAGTACGCACTGAACTGGACCTCAGCATTCCGTTATTACGTAAATACAAACCAGGTCAGCCACACGGTCTGTGACCCTCCAGGTGCGTATATGCTTGCTGTACTGAGAGCCGGCCAGAATGCCGCAGAAAACCTCCACCATCATGGCCAGACCAAAACCTTTGTACCCGCCTGTGGAATAGGAGGAACCCCACATCAATTACATGCATTGCTTTGTGTTGATCAGCAACAGCAAGGATGTGGAAAGACGAATACTGGCCTGTGGTCTCACTCCCGCCTATGGGCACCAGGCCACCCCCGCTCAGCACCTCGGCCGGGTCAGTGCTCAGCCGGCCCTCAGAGTCACAGCCCCAGCCCTCTGGGATGGTGTCGCCACGGCGATTATGGAGCTCCACCTGCAGGGTCCAAACCAAGAAACATCCGAACACTCTGGGCCGTGCAGTGCACTGAAGAACTCTGTTCAAAGCTCAAAGCTGAGTGGGTCCTACCTTCCCCAGGGCCACTGCAGATGTAGCCATGTCCAGCACAAAGCTGTCGCCATTGTTAGCTGGAGCGACCACACTAATGGGATTGGTACCCAGCGTGCACTGAAATGAAAAAGGAGAACATGAAGCACCGCTTTGCATCAGCCTGCCAGCTAAGCACAGACAAGCACCTGGAATATGACAGAAATTCCACATGGGATGTGGACTTTATCACATAAGCATGGTACATTTCCAGGGAGAATACTGACACGAATCCACACTCAGACGATCCAAGCTGCAGGAAATTGAAACAATTAAGGACCTACCTCTTTTGCCCTTGTTGGCACCACCAGAGGAGATGTGTTGGTGTAACTCATCCCCTGCCAAAGTAGAGGATGCAACAGCTGAGGGATGTGCTCTTACAGTTTACCACTAGGTGGAGACAGAGTTCACAGTGTGGTAAAGTGCTACTCACGATCATGTCCTCCTTCAGCGCCTGCATGGAATAATAACCTGCAATACCAAAGTGGTTGGAGCCTAAGCAGACAAAACAAAACAAGAGTGTGACCATTTAGTGGACATGATTGTTTGAGTCTTTTCTATATATGTTGTCCTGAGCTGCTACTGCCTGATATGTAGATTTACCATAAGCTACCACCCAGCCAATGCCTGCGTCCCTGGCCTTCTGAATGGCCAGATCCATGCAGAAGTTGCCCACAACAGGTCCAAGCAGGTTCCTTCCATTCACCAGCGCTGTGGCCACAGTCTCCTTGTCAATTGTGGGGGTGCCCTCCTTAGCACAAATGCCTGTCTGGATGTCTTTAACGTACATGTCTGCAGAGGAGAAGAAATAAGGTCAGCTTAGGAGAAACAGATCAGTCTTTCATTGTCATCACTTTTTTCCATCGCTTTGTAGAGCTCTCCGTGCAAACCAGCAGAGATTTCTCCAGTTTATGGTTCCCACTCTGAATCCTTCTCCCTGAACCACCTGGATAATAACCTCAGTGGCTACTTTACAAGAAGAGATCAGTCTAATTTTTAAGAGCATGGTTGAGTCCGGAGAGTATCATTCAGTGTGCGACGGTTCAGTGTCTAGAGGCTTGGATGGAAACTGACCCATGCGATTGAGTCCATGACTGTAGTGGCCCCGCCGGTCTCCCTCCACCAGAACATCTGCCAAGGTGGCTGCGTGACTGGGCTGGGTTCCCACAGCCACCATGCACTTCTCGATGAATTCCAGCACCTCTGAACTGAAGATGAGGCACCTGAGAAATGAGTTACCCCTGAGTGTTACCAAGAGGATAGCAAATGTCTAATCCTGAAAGTCTCAAAGTGTAAAGTGTCACAAATGTTTGTTTTGGTCTTAAGTAAACATGACACCAGAATGTAATGTGGGTCACTGAAAGTGCTGTGCCTGAAATCTTGACTACAATAAACAGTTATCAAATGGGTAAGACGATGGATAACAGTGAGTCCTTAATGGCGAAAATTAATTTTAATTTGTCTATGGCATATTATTATTACTATTCACTATATACGCAGGGCGATTTGGTAACGTTGGTGCTGAATTTTGTAGGAGTCCGATAAGCTTGTCTGAATAGCCTTCTTAATGCTTACCAGTCAAATAGCCTTGCCTAAAACCACAACCAAGGAACAGGCAATAATGAATTGGTTAGTGGTCAGAAGGGCTAGTTGAAATGTTCCTAGCGCACATCTCCACTGATAGGAGCTTGTGTCTGATTGGTAGATGTGTTGGCAGTTGGCTTCCCTTCTTACTAGTGATTTGTCGGGAGTTGGCTAGGTTTAGTGTGTCAGATTACATCATGTTGTTTACCGGCTCTATGACGAACTTGAGAGAGGGATGGAACGCTGCCTCACGGACAGAGGGTTGGGTGGATCAATTTGGTAAACAAAACGTAAGGGATCAACAAGTGCATGCAGGATCAGAGTGTCCCATTCCATTGTCCCAAACCAGACAATAAGTCCCAGTTGAAGTCCCAGTGACAGGACAGAGCACACGTTTGGGTCCACAGCCAAACCTTGCAGCGAGCTAATGGGATATGTGAGCTCTGACCTAGCCTAAGACTGTAGGCGTTCAAGAACAGACTTAATTATAATGTAGATGCTTTTTCTTGGCCTGTCGGTGGTGGGGGAACATTGGTCACACCCAGAGCCAGTGGTGGGCAGCTGTTGGTTGTGATTGATGTTAATGTCCCTTCTTATTTGGACAGATTACATGTAGTAGTGGTGAAATATTTTGTTTTTAATCTATCAGTTGAAACATACTGATTTGACTCTAAAGGCTTCATGGCCTTCTGGCATTTTCCAACAGGATATTTTAGCCAATTAAGAAACATGTCTATCCAAATATATCTGATGCAGATACAGCACCTGTAGTTTCTATATAAAAAACAACATTTCAATGGCTGGCCACAGAGTCTCAAATGCCGGTCTAACGTGCCTGTATCACCAATGTCCCAAAGCATCTTGTGTTTGAGTTACCGGCTGTTCCCGCTGTGAGGCATTCGGTCTTCAAATGCAGCCTTTGAAGGATCCAGTCCCTGAATTTGGACCCAACTAATTTCTGCTAGCACGTCTGTGAGAATTGCCATATTATGTTAGCATCAAATGGTAGCGGAATTAACATTTGCTTGCATAAATTTGCATAACAAATCCCTTAATTTAATCTGTTCTATTGTTCTTTTTCCAAGTAGGAGGTTGGAAACTTTCATGTTCCGAGTTATCGGGAATGCATCAATACATTGCAATAGGCGATACTAATAATAATGAATGATTCCGCTTCTTTCTAGTCTTCATGCATTTCAACCAGTCAAATGGTGGTGATACAACCATCTAACTTCATTTATGCTTTCGGGCCTGCTAGTAAGTGGGGCCATATCAGCATATCAGCAATGGAAAACTGTCTTTTCGCTGTTCGGCTCGGGTACAGCTCAGTTCCTGGTGGCTGTGGAAAAGCGCCATTAGCAAGCCTGAGGGATTGCTACAATGTTACTGTGTGAGGAAGGCTTGCTGCTGAATTTTTGGTGGTTTAACACAGTTCTGTCATTATGTTTCAATAAAATCTGAATCCTGGGAGGGAACTAGCTGTCGTACGGTTTTCAACAAGGATTCTGGAATAATCCAGATTGGCCAGATATTTGCAAAATGGACACAATATAAGATGTACGCAATGTAAGTCATGTAGAGAAAACAGGAAAAAGATTAAAGCAATAACAGGCATGTAACATGTACCACAGACACCCCAAAGGTTTAACTCGCGCAACCTGCTGAATTTGCCTAAGCTGGTTCCTGGTAAAATTGAT